AGTTCAATTTTAAAAACCTCTCTCCTGGAAAAATTCATACTGAAATGGTAGAAATCTCCTTGATCTGTAGGAGCTGGATATAAAATACCTGATTGCCAGAGTCTCTAGTATAAACTACTAGGTTAAAAAGTGTTTTGAAAGAACCAAACTTTGTCTCTAAGAATATTTCATCCTTGTTTATTTGAAGTGTTATTTTGATAAATGGCTGTGGTTTAGTGGGTTTCTGAAAGTTGTTTATTCCTGCTGATCTAGTAACATCTTGAAAACACCAAGTTTTAAGTACCTTTGGTGTACAGTATTACCACTGCTTGGATTTAACTTATTTTGGCTTTTTATTTAAAGTTAAAAAAACAGTATAATAAACCCATCACTTCATTTTTTAACAGTTAACATTTTCTCTAGCATTTTAAACTAAACTACATTTGCCTGTTTTTCTATTGCAATGAAAGGAAGTTTTACCCTGCAGAAGGAGAAGCCCTCCTGTGCACCTTTTCTCTGGATTTGCTGCTTGTTATTAAACACTGGGCCACACTTGTTTTCTCCCGCTACTGTACACAGGACACATTATTTTTGACGAATCTTGTCTTAGGCACTTCAGGCTGCTGTAACCGAGTTCCTCAGACTGAGTGACTTAAAAACAACAAATTTCTCAGAGTTCTGGAGGCTGGACAGTCCAAGATCATGGTGCTGTAGACTCAGCTTCTGGGGGTCACAGAGCTAGCGCCAGTCCCTTCTGGTCTCAGCACCTGCCTCCTGCAGACCTCACCTCTTGCTATCACCACACTGGGCGTCAGGATCCTAACCAGTGAATCTGGGGAAGGGGGGTGACAAACTTTCAGTCCATAACAAGTCTCTTTAGAGTAAGTGCAGATATCAAAACCCTTCATCTCTTTAATATTCAAGCATGTAGCTGGAGAATAAGAGCATTCTTATACATTGATAGTGAAATTATTCAGGATATTCCATGTTGATACAATACTGTTTAACACTAAAAATCAGTCATACTTTGACAGTTATCTCAAACTTTTCAATCCATGTATCGAGAAATCAGTCTGTTAAGATAGCAGATACCAGTTTGCCTTCAGGTAGACTACAGACCATCCACTTTTAAAGAATATCAGTCTGCCTTTGCTGTGGCCCAGTCAGTGTACTCTGGAAAGAACGCGCCACAGGAGCTGCAGGCATTCCCAATCTGGAGCTCTGTGAGCGCACCACAGAGGCAGCAGTGATGAGCCCATGACGGCTGCATTGGAGACAGTACCGTCCAGTGTTCATTTTAGTATCTGTTGAACTGAATCCCTTAATTCAGTACAGATCAACTATCTGGTGAAATTACCACACATTCTGTCTGATTAATTTTCTTCCTGCTCTGTGCTCCCTCCGCTCTGGAACTACAGGAAGAGGAGTTTGCAACAGATACAGCAGCAAACGCTGAAACCGAGGGTCCTCGTGAACCATCAGCTAGCGTGTCATCAAAAGGTGCATGTCCCGATGCTGACTGGGATAATGGCATTGATGACACTTACATTTTGGAGGCTGCAGAAGATGCTGAATTAGCAGACGCTGCAGAGAACAGCCTTCCTGTTTACAGCGGGGTGGATGAAATTCCTGATGAACTACTAATAGAAGTGTTACAAGAGTAGCTGATTACGGACACTGATATAACTAGGCTATAATCTGCATGAAGGCAGATTTACTACCATTAAATTATAGTAACTTATTAAATAAGCCTGTTATACCAACTGTTTTATTTATCACTTTACTTCCAAATCTTATTTACTGAAATAAACCAGTTTTACTGAAAATTAGCTCCGGTGTGCTTATTAAATTCAGTAGAATTCTCCTTATGTGATTAACTATGTTCACATCAGCTTAATTTTGGATGTTTATTTTTAGGGTAAAGCTTCTGTATGCTTAAGGGCTGATGAGGTGTCATTCTAAAACATTTTAAAACTTTATACTTGGTGTTAACTAGAAAAGTTAATTATGGCCTCTAAAACTATTATACCTAGCCATTTAATTTTAATGACAAAGCAATATTAAATTCTGGTGACAAGATCATACAAACAGTCTGAACAGTAAGACAGTTTCCTGCTTTTAAACTTATCTGAGAATGTTGTATAACAATAAAAAATATTTAATTCAAATTAATAGTAATAAAGTTCAGGTTTTCTTCTCATCTTTGTGCAAAAATATATACTGTCTGTTACCTTCTAAAACTATCACGAGACTAATCTTAAATGTGCACATCTTAGTAGACTGGTCTCATTTCTGGTCAAGGAGCTTCTCTAATTGACAGTTGATATTCTGCAGATGATTTTCAGCTCCTAAAAGGGGTCTTGCTTTGAACAGCAAAGCTGGAAGGCTGGATGAATCATACTGTTGAAGAAAAATATTTAGATGAATAAAAAAACTTACCTAAGCCAATGTAACTTATAAAAACCTTTTAAAATCCTATCCATTTTATGTAGTTCAATGTTATGACCAACTGCCAATGATAATATTATGTGTTTTCCATGAATCACTCATTTTTACGAAATTTGTTTTAATCCATCACCTTAGAATAACTGATAAACAGGTTGCAAGGGAACTGCTCTGCAAAGCTTGAGCTACTCATCCAAAAGACCAGCTGGCTCAAGAACAGTGGCATCTGAATTATTTAAACCAAAATCTCCCTGGACAGGTCAAGACATGGTCTGGGCAAGACCCCCCCCCCACCTCTGTGGGGTCAGCTTGATCTCATGCTGTTTTAAACACAGTTAACTGTGTGGCAGGTTTACTCTAAGAACTGATGGAATGAGAACACCAGGCCCATACAATTCATCTAGAAAAATTACTTTTTGAGAAGATGTGGTTCTCAGTTGCCAATCCAAATGTCCTTAATGATTAAAGACAAAATTAAATACAAACCCAGTATAAAAATAGGAAACAAAACTCATTAAGTTTGAAACTAAAGCCAAATATCATGGTACAGTTTATATCTAAGGGTGAATGACTAAAATCCTGACAGCTATATCATACTTAGAATATTTTGTTACTTATGTTTTCAAGGTGGTTTTCTTAGAAATGAAATTAAGCACAAACCTATCAGAGTGACTATGACCCAAATAATTTTGTCTATATCACCTACCCTTAGGCAATTGAGTTTAACAAATATTTGAGGGCCTACTGTGTTCAAGCTGTTGTACCAGGCAGCACCTGCTCTTAGAGGAGGGGTTGTGGGGGGAGGAAGCACTAACATTAGGTCCTGGATTCTTAGTTTAAGAAAAGAGGTGAGGCATATAACCTAGTGTCTACACTCTGAAAGCATAACACGGACATACTACTATATATAAAACAGATAACAAGGACAGGGTCAATTACATTCAGTATCTTGTAATATAGAAAAGAATCTATACCAACCACCCTTTTCCCTCCTGCATGCCCTCTTAAAACATTTTCAACTTCTAAAATCACACCTACTATTGATATGGGATAATGGCTAGTTTTTCAGACACAAAAGATAGTAAAAATACTGGCTGAACGAAGACAAGAGGTTGGTCTTTAAAACTTGTATAGGTTTTAGTGGTCTTAGTCTTAGGTTGACGACAGTTGAGTTTTGTCCAGAGGATACACTTCCCTTCAAGAAATTCAGTTCTCTGAAGCTTAAATACCTTAGTAAAATCAGTGTTTCTGGATTTTCCTTTACCTCTCTGGCCTTAATTAATTAGCTAAGAAGCAGTGAGAACAAATTTTCACCAATTTATAGGGATGCTTTTTGGGTAGACCTGACATCTCCATTGTTCTCTCCTCGAAGCTCTGGTTCTCTAACAGACTGCCCTGTGTCTTCTGAAGCAGAGTGAAAATTAAAAACTGAACTTACTGTTTCCTTTACACTTGGTTCTTCCTCTTGAACATCTGAGTAATCTTGATGAAGCTGTTTGAGATTGGACAGGAAATATGCTGCCTTCCTAAGGGAAGCTTTTCTCTCCTGAAGTTCCTCATACTTTATTTGTAGTTGTTTCAGCTCTGGTTCTACCCTAAAACAAAAAGATAATTTTCCCAAAAAGAAATGACAAAGTGGAACTACAGCCTAAGGTATATGAGGTGCAGCATGCAAGGATTCTGAGTGAAGTAAACAGGCGAGGTGGGCTAGGTGGCTTAAAATGTCATTCGCTTTGAAATGATCAATGTGAGTGATTCTGCAATCAATTTAAATGTAGCAAAAACTCTGAAATATGATGCCTAAAAAGTACTTAGCAGTGAGGCCCAAATAAAAACACGCCTTATGTATCTTAAAGTTTATTAAGTCATTTTAAGAGTCTTAGGAACTACTGAATTAAAACATATACTTGGGTATCAAGATTTTAGGGCCCCAGACGGATGTAGACTGACATTGCAGTTTAGCAGTCAGAGCATGGACAGAAAGCCTTTCCTCTGCCCCCTGCCTCACTGAAACTGTGTCCAAGTCTAATAAAAGCAGCGGAGAAACCATCTCTGCCTGGGTGAGATGTGCGACCTTGGGCAACCTGCTTTCTGTCTCAGTAGCTTATGAGTCTCTAAACATATAAAAAGAAAAGGATAATTTGGATTTTATGGACCAATTTATAAAAGAATGGGGAATGGTTACCATCTTTTATTCTCACAAAGATGTATTTTAAAAACCTGGTCTAATATCATTTTATAGAAGTCCCTGTAACAGCTCTGTACACTGAACCAGTGCCATGTTCTGGGAAACCCCTGAGCCGGCTGGGTCGGGAGCCAGTGGGCAGACACTGGGTCCTGGCTCCCCTGTTCCTGGGTAGGGGGCTGTCAGAACATTACCGCCCTGTGCCTTAGGTTTTCCACATGTAAAATGATACATATTTTGTTTCTTTCTATGCCTTTTCAAAATACTATACTTCTCAACTTCTACAATTCTGTCTAGAAAAAGGATCGAAAGCTCTGTGAGACAGATCCGAGTCTTATATAGTTGTCTTGTGGCCAAACAACCTGCCTCCCAGGGTTATGGTGATGGTTAATGAGTTGGTATAATAAAGCACTTAGGACGGTGCCCAGCGACACACAGCTGACACCTGAAAAAACTTCCCATCATGATCTTTACTTTTCTGACTTTGGCCTAGGCCCATGAAGGTTGCAGTGCCGGCCAGCAGCACCTGTCCAGAGGCTGGCTCTGGAAACCAAAGGCCTAGACAACCCATTTCTCCCTCTTCTAGACTTCTGAGGCAGGTCTCATCTTTCAAACTTAGTACTCACTTACAGGTTATCTTCTAAGACCACTTTCCAAGCTATTTTAAGGCTCCTGAAGGGCAGAGAGCGTATCTGACACTGCTTATTCTGCTGCTGCTTCGCTGCCAGCCCCCCGGCTCACCCGGCCGTCCTGTCTGTAAGGAAGACCGCCGCAAACCCAGCGGATGGCCTGCGCTCCCATCTTCCTGAACACACATGGAGACAGACCCGGAAATTCTGGCCTGACACCCGGGCTCACGCATGTCATACCAAGCAATACGTCTCAACGACACTCATGCAAACTGGTAACGCCTCACACGACACTTACTGTATGCTATGCCAGTCACCGTGTGGCACTTTCTGTGTATTTATTCACTTGGGTCTCACAACACCCTGTGAGGTATAGTTACTGTTATGCTCATTTGCAAATGAGGGAACTGAGAGGTTAAGTACCTGCCCAAGGTTGCACAGCCAGAAAGTGGTAGAGCCTGGACTAAAACCCAGGCCACCCAGTTCTCAAGTCTATGCATTAAGTGTCCAATCAGAACACCTCTCAGGTGGGAGCTGAGAGATCTAGTGGTGGATAGATGAGGGCTGATTTGCTAAAAGCTTCTCAACTCAGTGGCATAACCTCCCTTGACTGAGCTTCCAAGCTCAGAGAAGACCTGGTGTTTAAAATGCAACACAGCAGCAAGTTTTACAACAAAGCCTCACATGAAACGCTGTGATTAAATCTTGTTCTAAGTTCTCAAAGAGGATTTTGATATTATCTTACCGAAGCAATTCATCCTGGGCTTCAATCAAATGCTGCCTTTTCTTTTCGATATCGGAGATCATCTAATAACAAAAATTTGTTACGTTTTGTAAATATTTCAGCACTGCCTTATACACTGTGCCAGGTATTGGAGCACAGTGGGAAACACGGCAAACCCCATTCTTACCAACGTTGGTCACACAGGGAAGACAGACATGACATACAAACAAGGTGTAATCACAGCTTGTGACGTGTGCTAAGACGGGAAAGAAGAGGGAACTGAAGTCCAAGGGGATCCACTTGCGGAGAGCCCTGAAGAGGAGGGCCATATTTTACTACCCTGTGAGCTATCAAGTAAGGCACTGTGATGCTCTCTAGGTACACCAGGAAAATACTGAAGCACAGGAGTGCCATGACACAATTTGTATTTTACAGAGAACATTTCAACAGAATTCAGTGCATCATCTCAACTATCACTTTTTGCAACTACCTCATATTCCACTGCTGGACATTCAGACTACTCCTGCTTGCCTATGAGAGATGCAGGAATGACCAACAAGAGATTAAAACTGAAAAACAACCAAGGCTGTTGTTTTTCACCAGAATAGTTTGTTTTTCACCAGAAGGAAAACCATCCATTTCAAACCCATTTCTGTTACAAATGTAGAGGGGGGCTGTGGTTCCACACATGGATTCATGCAACTTTATAGAGCTAGAACAAGGGATGCTTTTTGGCCCAACTGTAAACAGGTGGGCTGGAAGGGCCTTGTGTTTCCTTGCAGACCTCCTGGCAACAGGACATTGAGGCAGCAGCACCGTGACAAGGAGATCCCCTGACCCTTAACCCAGTATTCTTCCTAGTCTGCCCTTTCTCCTGAGACACAAGACAGTTCTTCAGTCTGAAAGACTTCTGACATACACAGTAGTGATAAACACATAATACATAATACTCAACCATGTAAATGGTCATTTTGGGCTTGAGAGCCATTTTCAGGGCAACTGGGACCCCCATTCCTTAGCCTACGTCTCAACAACATTATTGACTTGATCAGTACTCACCTGAACGGTCACCAGATCGACCAAACAAAAGCCTGACTAAAAAGATAAAAGGCCTTACACAAACTCTGTAGGTCACAAAACCCAGAGTCAGGTCTTTACTTGCTACATATATGCACGTTCTACAGGACACTGTTTTTAGTCACGTGAGTGATTTACCTTAGCATTCTTCCTTTTCAGAGTCTTCAACATCTGGATGTCTTGAAGCTACACAAAACAAAAAATAAATATTTGCATGTATTTTCCAAAGTCAAGTGTATCAGTTTACAACATATCATATTCAGTTTCTAAGGAGCTCTTTACCACACTGGCAGCAAATGCAAGCTTTACCAAGACAACAATGAGCTGTTAAGGATTAGTTAAAAAAAAAAAATTAGACCAACCAATTTATGTCACTGAACTTACCATTTTGATGAGTTCTTCTTTCAAATCAGAATGAAATTTGTTGATGGCTGCCTTACAAACTCGAGAGTCTATTTTTTGTCTGTAGCAGAATTTAAAAAAAAGTCAAACTTAGGTATTCTCTGAAGGATCTGGAAAGGTGTGTTTCATTTGTTTAGCATTCCCATGGACACACATAGTTTGGTATGTGCCAATCTGAATAAGATGGCATGGTCAGCTTGCAGCCCTTTCTCAGATTTAAAAAAATACTGGAAGCCTCTCAAGAAAAACAACTGGAACTCTCTCTCCTAAGTCCTCACACATGTGGCCAGCACTTCCCGACACTGGTCACACCCACAGGTGACACTAAACCATATGGAAAGTGATGCTCCCAGGCAATCCCAGTCTTCCCTGCCGCCTGACCCAGGGACCAGCAGACTTCAGCCCTTCCTCCCTCCCTGCTACAACTGGAGAAGGGGCTGGGTCACATGTTTGGACTAACCGATAAGTAAGTAGCCAGAAGCCAGCATAGTTCTGCAAAAACTATAAAGCTGACCCAAACAAAGAAACTGGTTTGGGTCCCTGTCGTCAGGGACAGAAGAGCCCAGTCTCCCTCCCTCACAGCTGGATGCAGACCCATGGTGACCCACACCCTGCCAGGGGGAAGCTACCCCCCTCCTCTGCCTCGTCACAGAACGACACTAGAATTTAAAGTCTGAATTGAAAATAAACCTCTTGTGTGAGTGACAGCTTGTCACATAGCTATTTTTTTCTTGGGGGAAATACATGAGGAAAAGTCGCCCAGGAGAAGGGGACCAGGCCCATGGTCTAATTCTTCAAGACGCTAAGCAGGAGAGATGGCCTGCACTTTTGAATACAGTTTTTGTAAAACTTTAAATCAAAAAAAAAAAAAGAAAAAAAAAAAGGATGTTAAAAGTATTTCTAGTGACATCAGAAGATGGTGGAATAAGAGACCCCAGACCTCATTCCTCCACAGGGAAACCAACAAACACACAGCCCCAAAAGCCCTGTGAGGGCGACTCCAGGAACCACTAAGAAGTTGCAGTTCTCTACTGGCTCTGGCAGGTTCAAGTCTAGATCCTGAGTTGAAACAGGTAACAGAGGCCATTTCATACCAACTCTGATCGCCCTCTTCCCAGAATTAAACAGTTTCCAGGTATTATAAACATGATGTGCTTTGGGGTGGGGGCAGGGAGAGAAGACCAAGACATCACAGCTTGCAAGAGTTCTAATCTTACTGGTGGGGAGTTATACATTTAAACAGGATCAATACATTCTTCTAAAGATAGGGATAATTAAGTGTAATTGACTAAAATGAAATTCAAAGATGGACACTGGATTTAAAAAGGAGTTTATAATAAATAACAGCTTAACGTGAGACAAAGGTAGGAAGTAAAAGTTCAAAGAACGTAAAATTTGGCTAATACTAGTTAAAGAAATAGTGACATATGAGACAAAGGATTTTAAAACCAAAAAAAGCATTTTTAGGAATGAAAAGAGTCACTTCATAAAGATAAAATGTTCAATCTAAAAGAGTATTTTAAACATGATATCCTAGTAAAATAACCTCTACAGAGATAGCATAAATTGATAGAAATACCAGGAAAAACTGAGTAATATTGATTCTACACAGATCCAATAATTAGAGCTTCCCAAGAGATTATATGCTAGGCCATAAAGGAAGCCTCAGTATTTCAAAAATAGGTATTACGAGTCCATGAAATTGGACTATAACTATTTAAGACAGAAGATTAATAAATAGAAATTTAAAAGTCACATACATGGACATATAAAAACATAATACTAAATCAGAGACTTAAAGAAAAAAGTATAATAGAAATTTAAAAGTATGTAAAAATGATAATGAAAATTCTACATATCAAGCTGTGGGGTGAGCAGAAGTGCTATTTCAAGGGAAATTTATTAGGTACATAAATGACAACATCAAAAGACTCACTCATACTCTAGGAGAATGTTCTCGAATGCAGACAAAAACACATCTAATTCCATGATGTCACTGGCTTTCTTTTCTTTTAAACACCAAATAGGTGCACAGTCGGAAGTATCTAGAACATCAGGACAGGTTAATTTAATATACTGATTATCAGCCATTTAGCTCTAGGTCCAGGGACCTGAAAGCCTACAGTACTCCACCAAATTGCTAAACACAGCACCAGGTTTTGCAGAAACACATGGGGGAAGACAAGGCTCAAACCCTGTCTGTAGGGCGCCCTCTAGCGCTGCTCCTTGGCTGGCCCACTTCTGAAGCAGCAAAGCAGAGCAGTCCCTTAGTTGCCTTGCTGCGCCTTTATTTAACAGCCGGCTGTTACTGAACGCTACTGGAGATGGATATCTTTGTTAACCGTGTTCTGTTAGTTTTAATCTACCTGATGGATCACTACTAGGACACATGAAGGTTACTGCGTGTATTGATTCAGACAGCTGATATAAGAGATTAACTAAACTATGCACATTTGTGAATGAAATATTACATATTCATTAAAATGGTATGTAGAATACTGAATGACAAGGATATGAGCCCACTTAGGGTGAGAAAAGCTCAGTAAAAGGATTGAAGAGTATAGACCAAAAAACACGACAGTTACTTTGGGGGTGATGGAATTGTGTAGGTGATGATATCATCCTTTCTTATACCTTTGAAATTTTCTAAAATAAACATTTTTATAATAAGAAAACTATAAAACTTATCTTTTAAAAAACTGGAGAGAAAATGGTTTATTTTCCTCCCATTTTCCAATAAACTTTGTGCCAATAAAAATGATGCAGAATAATATGCATGACTCTCAAAGCTACATTGAATGAAAGAAGGCTTCTAAGAGTACACAGTATGATGTCTGAAAAGAGTGTATAACGTGATGAAAAATTAAAATAGATTAATGAGTAGGTGCTAGAGCAAGTAGAAATAAATTCTGATGGTAAAATCTAGGTAGTAGGTATATGAATATATATTGTTAAATTCTTTATCCTTTGTTGTATATTGAAAATTTTCATGATAGATTGCTGGGAAAACTCAGTTACTCCAAAGTCATATTTTTTAACTTTTTAAAGTGGAAATTTTATATACTTAAATGTACTACTTTATCAAATTAAAAAATACATTTTTAAAAAAGAACTTCTTGAATGACTGACTACATATAAAACACTATCTATACCTGAGTCTGTGGCGTCACTTCTTGGTTTCTTCCTTTTGCCAGGAAACATCTTATTCTTCTGAGTTTTCTAGAAAAAAAAAAAAAATCACAGCAAAAATTTTCATGTAAGAGAAGGTTCTCTTAAAACAAGAATTAAGACAGCATTATCAGACACTGTCAATACTTTTGCTACAATTCGATCCCTGTGTCGGGAAGATACCCTGGAGAGGGAAACAGCAACCCACTCTTGCCTGGAAAATCCCTTGGACAGAGGAGTCTGGTGGGCTACAGTCCATGGGGGTCTCAAAGAGTCAGACACCACTGCATGACTTTCACGTCCTCATTTTGTTACAAGTTAATATATTAATCATATAAATTATCTAACTTAATATAAGGAAATACTGAGCAAATTAAACTACCTCAAAATAAAAAGTAGTTAAAACTTTCAGCTGGCTTATGACAGTGGGTGCCTTGGAGGCAATTAAGCTTTTATTATTTAGGATGATAATATGTGGAATCAGCTCAATTTCTGCTCCAAGCTATGAGGAAGTGACAGCTTCTGAACTAGCTCTATTGCCATGCACAACCATAAAGCGGGGAGGGGGGTGGCATCGGACAACAGGCAGGACAGGTCTGAGACGCTCAGAACGCAAACCTACAGCTGCTGCGGCCCCCCGGGCCCCCCGGGCCTGGGCCACCTTCCTTCAGAGGGCAGCACAGCAGCTGCGTGCCCAGAGCGCAGCGTCCGGTCCCGCCGCAGAGGCAGAACGCAGGGCACAGCGGCCGGAGCCCCCACAGCAGGCTGTTGGAAGAGGACAGGAGGGGCCTGGGTGGGGGCCCTGCCGCCTACTCCAGGCTCGCAGAGGCTACAAAGGGGCGCTGCATGTGCTATCGTGGGATCAAGGACGTAACAGGTGATAAAGGACAAGGAATACTGGGGGAAATCAGATGGAGAAAACGTACAGGCCTCACTGACTAGTTAAGAGCTACTGGTCCAGCTGAGCAGGGGGAAGAGCCCAGCTCGGGGGTAAGAATGTGCTGAGATCGTGCCATCTCCACCTGTCCCCGGGGCGGGGGCCAGACAGCCTTAGAGATTACAGTACAACAGTTTATGACCCTCCAAAGTGCCTGGTATATGAATAGATACACGGTGTACTTATGATGTTAAAATTCAGTTGGGGGAATGGTTAGGAGGAAAAATGTCTAAAAAGGCTTCTTAGGGAGGATAACAATGAGAAAGGCTTAAGAAACACTGCTCGAGAGTTAGGGCTGCCCTAGATCCACCCTAACTAAGCCTAAAGCCAGTCTCTGACCAGATTCAACAGAGACTGGGGGTGTGGCAAGCACCCTACAATCCCCCGCTCCTGAGAGTGAGTGGCTCCTGTGACTCTGGTGGGATGGTCACCCCCTTGATGAGTCTCATCACGTAGGAGGCCACCACTGCAGATGGACAGGCTCTGGCTGGCTCTGAAGACATCGCCAGCTGCCGCGTCGTGAGAGGGCCCTGTGACGAGGACCTAGGGCAGCCTCTGGTTGCCGAGTGTGACTCCCGGCTTCAACCAAGAGGAAACAAGAACCTCAGGCCTGCAACGGCAAGGATCAGAATTCTACCAACAGCTTGCGTGATCCCAGATGAGGACCCCAAGTCTCAGGTGAGAGTTCCGTCCTGGCTGGCACCTCGACTCCAGCCTGTGAGACCCGGACCCTCACCAGCTAAGGTGAGCCTGGACTTCTGACCTACAGGAACTGTGTGAGGCATAAACATGCGTTGTTTGACGTCACAAAGTCTGTGGTATTCTGTTTTGCAGCAACTGAAGACTATTAATACAGAGGTTGAGTCCCACTGACTTAGAGAGGCTTGGGAGACCCACTGAGGCTTTCCACACACTGACCCCAACAAAGGATAAATCACACCCACAGAAGTTCAAGGTGATCAGCCAATAATCAAGCTACCTATTAGAATGAAAGTCAACGTTCAGAAGAAAACACAACTCAAAATCTCAACCACCTATCAACAACAATGTGTAACACACAATTTAAAACTACTAGATTAAAAATGCTACACAAAAAATGTGACCTGTAGTCAAGATAGAAAAAAAGTACTCAAAAGAAGCTGACCCACCGTAGTCCAGGCACAGTCACCCCTTAATATCCAAGGAAGGTGGGTCCAGGATAGCCCAGGGACCCCCAGATCCGCTGATGTTCAAGCCTTGTGTAACATGGTAGCACGTGCACACAGTCTACTTCTTCCCATTGTATTTAAATCACCTCTAGATGACCTGTAATACCTAACAGACACTATGTAAATACTATGACTACTAAGAAATACATACAAGTACTGTGAAAATAGTTGCTGCTGCGTGGCAAATTCAACTTTTGCTTTTGGGGAACTTTATGTAATTTTTGTCCCCGAATATTTCCTATCAAGTAGTTGGTTGAATCTATGAATGTGGAGCCTGCAGATACAGAGGGCTGACTGTACCAGACTTAGAAAGCAGAGACCTCAAAGCCACTCTCATAAATATTAATATGTCCCAAGAAGGAAATGATGGACTTAATGATTAAGCAGATAAGGAATCTCAATCAAGAAACAAACTATGAAGGAAAAAAAATAAAGGAAGTTCTAGAACCCAAGGCATGATACTAAAAAGTTAAAGTTATTGGGTGGTGTTTTATTTCCTATGACCACTATAATAAATTACCACAACTTGGCTTAACAAAGAAATTTCGGTACATCTGGAGTCCAGAAGCCTGAAATCTTCACGTAGGATAAGAAAAGCTCAATGAAAGACTGAAGCGTGTGGCGGTTATTTTATTCTGGGGTGATGGAATTAAAGGATTTTATCTTCCTTTCTACACCTTCTAAATTTTCTAAAGTAAATATATTTTTATAATAAGAAAAATTTTAAAAAACTTATCTTTCAAAAGAAGCGAAGGAAAAAGAAAATGCTTTCCCTCCCCACTGGACATTTTCAGCTTCTCCTCTCCAGGGGGACGGCAGACACTCTTACCAGCTGACGTTCTGTGGCTAGCGTTGCTTTCTCGGCAGAGGACTCAGCACTCTGGGGTCCTGTCTTCTGAGAAGTGACCGCTTCAGCTGGTTTCTCTGAAAGTTCTGGAAGTGCTGTAGCTGAAACAGCTTCATGCCGTGTATTTATGTTCTCTGTGGGTTTAACTTTTCTCCTTACATCACTTTCTTCAGGGCTTTCAGATTCGTCACTTATAGGCTTGAGTTTTCTTCTTGGCTAGATCAAGAAAACAGCCTTATTGTTTAGAAAATACAAATGCTTATCATTCCTGTTAGTAGATAACCAGAAGGTCCACATTTCTTAACTCTAAACTTCAAAACTGAATATAATAGAAAGATGGCAACCTCACTAGTGGACAGGACCGGAAACTTGGATTAAAGGGTTCCCAGCAAACACTCCCAATAGAGTGTTTAGCCACCATCTACACACGTTACATGGACCCTATGAAAACTGACATGGTACACAGAGATTTGAGATCTCTGTGATGAAAAACACTTCAGATACAAAACTCTATCATTATTATTTTTAAAAAGTACCTTCTGAAACATAATATACTCTTTATGAAAAATAATGCTACAGAACATTGTCTCTATTTGCATCCAAACAGTATATGAAATACTTTACAGAACATTTCTTCTACTTGCATCCAATCTAAATAGGATATGAAATATCTTACAAATTAAGATGGGAGAACAGGCATACCTTTTTGGCACTTATCTTTATAGACTCGTTTTCACTTGCTTCAATTTCAGAAGTGTCTGAACTGTACCAAAGAACAAACCATCAGTATCTTGCACACATTTCATTTTTATTCACACGTGTCTTCTAAAAGCTGCTCCTCTGACACAAAAACAAGCTGAGTTTAATGAGATTTCCCACTTGTCAAGGGTGGGTCTGCCACCTCCCCAGACTTACGGTCACCCCCCACACCTTCGCACACCCAGGCTGCATCACTTGAGCTCGAGCAGGCAGGTAAGAGCCCGTAACTGCCCCTGTGGTCCCGTCAGAAGTGCCCCTTCCTCCCTGCCACCACTCCCAGGTACACGGGCACCCCCAGTCCTAATCCGCAGATACGGGCCCATGTTTAGGGGACAGAAAAGGGAATACCTTCTTTCATCCTTTGAATGAAAACCCTAAATTTCTAATGAGAGTCCTTTAACTTTTTTCATCTGACATTTAACACCAACTTCAAAATGCAACACAGTCTTTCAACAAGAGACAATACCACACATGGACATCACCAGATGGTCAACACTGAAAACAGACTGATTATATTCTTTGTAGCCAAAGATGGAGAAGCCCTATACAGTCAGCAAAAACAAGACTGGGGGCTGACTGTGGCTCAGATCATGAACTCCTTATTGCAAAATTCAGACTTAAATTGANAGAAGGAAATGGCAACCCACTCCAGTGTTCTTGCCTGGAGAATCCCAGGTATGGGGGAGCCTGGAGGGCTGCCGTCTATGGGGCTGCACAGAGTTGGACACGACTGAAGTGACTTAGCAGCAATGGCAGAAAGCGAAGAGGAACTAAAGAGCCTTGTGATGAAGGTGAAAGAGGAGAGTGAAAAAGCTGGCTTAAAACTCAACATTCAAAAAACTAAGTTCTTTTTGCATATGCAGTTAGGGAAAGCTAGCTTGATAAAACACTTTTTTTTCAGACCCTGAGAAAACAAAAATGTGCCTAGGAGAAAATCTGAAGTTATGGCTTATCGTGTCCTTGAAATAAAACCACAGTCCACGTTGCCTGGAACTCCAGCCCTGGGTTAACTATAAAACTTCAAGCTACGAGGAAAAAAAAGGAGGAACGCCTTTTAAGATTGAGTATGTAAATTTGGCTATTTTAACTATTATCCATAAACTGCTAAGTTTAATTGCAATGCCTAATTCACGAAATATGAAAAGATAAAACACTGAGATCTCTGTTGGTCTGGACATTTGTATGTCTCAATATGTGTTTTTGTCTTTGGATGATATAGCTGAGGTTAATTTTTAAAGGAGCTCTATTTAATTTGCCTTAAAAAAAATATGAGCACTTACAAATCAAACAAATCTAAATTTACCTACTTTTGTCTTCTTTTAAGGCTAAGAGGGAAACTAAAGATGTTTTGGTTTATTAAACATGCATGTGGTACCACTGAAGATAAGCTATGCTGTGAAAAAATGTATGTTTTTAGAGGTTGTAGAATATGTTCTTAAGTTTGCCAATCAGAAAATGCTGATGAACCATTTCAATCACTTGGTTTTCTTAAGATTTCAAGGGTTATAAACTGTGATATGTAAAAATGATAACATTTCTATGTGTAAAACAAATAGGATATGAGTTGTTAGTGAAGAAAAGGTATAAACAAATGGAAATATTTTTGTTAAAAAAAATAATACTATCCTTTAGTTGTCTGTTTCTGGAAAAGGAAATACAGGAAAAATTTGTTTGGACCCAAAAAATCATAAAAGGTTTATAAAAAAGGAACTTTGAGAACAAAATTTTGTATGTTGTCAGGATTAAGATTAGACTAAATTTAATTAGGTATATAAATTCTGTTATTAACAGTAAACTGATGCAAGACAAAATTTGTTTTTTTTTTCCTCTTTGTTGGAAAAACAAAATTCTCCTGGAATATTGATCTAATTCTGATAACAGAGACTTCTAATGGAAAGCAACTGTTTTGTTTCTAATCATACTTTTGACCCTAATATTCAGGATGGAAAACACTGTCCAGTAAAGTTGTCACAGAATATAACTACTCATGATGTATAGCACTGCTTTAATTTTATGGCTTAAAGCACATGTACAATGTTTGTGTGAAAACTGGGTACAGATGATAAAATGTGTGGACTATAACACATTTCCCTATGAACATACCCAGAGCCTGTACATGGGATCTGAGTAGTTATCCCCCAACATGGACAACTAGTCAAGTATATAAATAAAAAGGAGCCCTAGCACTGAGGGACATGGATGAACCCAGAGCAGGCAAATGAACCACTCTGGCAACGTTGGAAAAATATACTGATTATCAACACTCTCTACGGAAAGAGTTGCAACTTTAAAAGGGGAAAGTGATGGAAGAAGTGCTCACCTACTGAGATTTAGGGAAGTCATTCTGACCTATATAGGATTAAGTTTGAACTTCAGGCTAAATAAAACAGTCTGTTTGTGGCCTATTAAACAGACATTGTACATCAGCTTTAACCATTAAGACAGAGAACAGTGCAAACGTGTATTTTGACTATCATCCTCATTGTAATATGTCTAGTAATTTTCAAATGTTTGTCCAGGTACTACGGAAGTTTATTGCCTTTCCTGTTCTGCACCTGTCCCTCCTCACGACTGATAATATCAGAGAAAAGGGGGCACTGAAGCGGAGCAGGACCCTGTGGTCCTTGCCCCCTGGCCATGTCCTCTGCCTGCCTTTCATCTGTGGAAAACTTTAGTCAAAGAATAAGTCTAATCAGAGAAGTGAGAAATGTGGAAGCAAAGGGAAACAGTCAAAGGAGACTAATAATAATGTGGGCATTAAGCACAGCCAAGGACCTTTAGTTCTTTCCCAAGAGGTGTAAGGTAATATTCTGAGCCATATCCTGCAGCTGTCTTATAGACACTAAAACCCCAGGTGGAGAAGTTCACTAGCAGACTGTATCTAGGACACTAGCTGCCACAACTGGCCTCAAAGAAATGGCAACAAACAAACCCTGAAACTGAAGTTAACTGGACCAAAAACAACCAAGATGATGTTGGTCAGACCACTGATGACCATTCTGAAGATGACTGTTCGAGATGACTGTGCTGTTTCTGCATGTAGTCCGACCCCCTGCCCCCTGTCTATGAAAGTTCTCACCTCCTGCTTACGAAGGCATGGGGGGAGTCAGCCTTTGGACAGATATCCACCCCTCTTCCCCCACAGTTGCTGGCATCTGAAATAAAGCAAACTTTCCTTTCCACCAACCTGGCCTGTTTATTGGCTTTTGACAGTAAGCAGCAGGACCGACATACTTCTTTTGGTAACACAAAGAAATTGTGAAAAGACATAAGAAACAAATATTGGGACTGGGGGGGTTCCTTTCCTGGTGGTGCAGTGGATAAGAATCTGCCCGCAAATGCAGGGGATACAGGTTCGATCCCTGTTCTGGGAAGATGCCACATATCACAGAACAACTAGGCCTGTGCACCACAACCATCGGGCCGAGTTCCAGAGCTGGGAGCTGCAGCGACCGAGCCCCAGCGCCCTGGAGCGCGTGCTCCTCCTCAAGAGGAGCCACTGCGATGAGCAGCCTGCCCACTGCAACTAGAGAGCAGCCCCGGCTCACCGCAACCAGGAAAGCCCATGCAGCAACCAAGACCCGGACAGCTCCCCCCAAAAAAGAGAATAAAACCAGTGGTAGGGAAGGGAAGAAGTGGGGGCAGGAGCTGTGATGACAGAGAGGAGATGACAGCTCTTATTAACCTTTCTGTATTTTTAAACCAACCCTATTCCCACCCTGCCCCAGAAAACATCCCATTTGTGACGGGTAAGAGAATTTGTAAAATCACCTGAACTTCTACACTCTTAAAACCTTTCCTCTCCTCGTTTTATCCCAAAGCTAAACAACCTCCACTGGCATGTTTTCTAGGATAATCAGGTGTCAGTTATAGTTATTATAAGTAACATCAATTACTGAAAAATTAAGTTTTTCTGTCCCAGTTCTCTTGAGGAAAAATATAAAATGGCTTGAAGGATCTTTAAAAAGCTTTGGTCTTATAAGCATCTCTCTTAAAAAACATCTCAGAAACGCCATTAACCATGAGTAAATAACTGCTTGCGATCCACCCACACCTTCTCTCTGCTTCTTTTTCTTGAGGAATTGAGGGGAGATGTGACCCGCAGTGCTTGGAGAATTCTTCCTCATCAGCATATATAGCCGTGCTGTGTAGAGGAGGGTCTACAAGAGATTAAAAAAAAAAATATTTAGATGTTTGGTCGTCTGGGAAGCAAGCAAGTTTGTCCCTCTACACTGGTGTACAAAGCAACCTGTTTACGTGGCCAATAAAATCAAAACCAATTACACGGGCTACTTCTGATCCCACACCTCAGGAAGAACAAATGTGAACCATTTCACCAGTACACGCATGGACAGCTATCCTGTAACCTTAGTGTCCTTAGAGATGATACAGAAACTTTTAAATGAGCTAAAAGATAAGCATAAACAGGAGGTCTGACACTGCTCCCTCATCATGTGGAGCATCACAGAGCGGCCTGGGAGACACTGCACAAACTCATGAACTCCAAACCCAAGGGCCCGGGGTGCCTGGTCACCCCCGCCTCTCCTACCCCACAAAGTGCCTGGTGAGGGTGGCTCAAACCCGTGGACGACTGGCTCTTTGGGGAGGATCCCGGTCCTCCTGCATATCCCTTCCCCTCTCCTCCCCTCTGCACTGCCAGAGCGTGGAGCGAAGCAGGAAAAGTTCACTCGAATCAAGATACAGGAGAGGAGACCAAACAGCCTTGGTGGGAAGACACAGAAGAGGTGCTGAGGAGGATGCTCCTACCTGCTGAGGAAACAGGGGTCACAGGAGAGGCCTGGGCCTGTGAGAGGGAGGGAGGAGGAACAGCTGCAGGGGTGCCTGGAAAGAGCCAAGCACCCAATTTACGCTCAGGTTTCACCATGAACGCACAATAAACAGCTGTTTAGATAATGAACAGAGCAACTGCACAATCTTAAAGTTAGTAATATACTTGGTACTGACCTCAACTAGGCACTGGAAGGACAGATGCTGAAGCTCCAATACTTTGGCCCCCTGATGTGAAGAGCTGACTCACTGGAAAAGACCCTGATGCTGGGAAAGACTGAAGGCAGGAGGAGAGAGCGGCAGATGAGGTGGTTGGATGGCATCACCGACTCAATGAACCTGAGTTTGAACAAACTCCAGGAGATAGTTAAGGACAGGGAAGCCTGGCGTGCTGCAGTCTAGGGGGGCTCAAAGAGTCAGACACGACTGAGCAATTGACAACAAGTAAGCAAAGGGATTTATTTACTTTAAAACTACTGGGAATAACAAGGGGAAAAAAGAAAACCACACCAACTTTTGGATCTCTGTGTGTAACCAGTCACACGAGCTGGACTCTCAACCTGTCAACAATAAAAAGATAAATAACCTGATTTCAAAATGAGCAAAGGATGTGAATAGATACTGCTTCAAAGAAGACACAGGAGTACCTCGTTTTACTGCACTTTGCTTTGTGGCACTCTGCAGACACTGCACTATTTACAAATTGAAGGTTTGTGGCAACGCTGCACTATCAGGTGATGATTAGGTTAATCTGGATTGCCACAAACCTTGCCAAAAGCCCCCTGATAAACCCAACAAGCTTCCTGACTCCCAATTAAGCAAAGACGTCCGCTCCAGTAAACACCCTAGAGTGCCTCAACCAATAACTTAATGCCCCCTTCCAGCAAGAATTGTGTCTTGAGGCTATAAAAACTGGCTATTAACTCATGAAAATGGTCGACTTTCCCTGGTCTGTCAGGAGGTCAGTCCACTTGCTCGCAATGCCCACATTATCTCTGCTCTTTGTTCTTAATAAACCCACTCCCTTCTGAAATGCTCTGTATCTGAAAATTCTTTTCAAACACGCACTCATATTGCCTCAACATTGACTACACTAAAGTCTTTGACTGTGTGATCACAACAAACTGTGGAAAATTCTGAAAGAGATTCGAATACCAGACCATCTTACCTGCCTCCTGAGAAACTTGTATCCAGGTCAAGAAGCAACAGTTAGAACCAGACATGGAACAACAGACTGGTTCCTAACAGGGAAAGGAGTATGTCAAGGCTGTATACTGTCACCCTGATTATTTAACTTCTATGCAGAGTATATCATGTGAAATGCCAGGCTGCATGAAGCTCAACCTGGAACCAAGATTGATGGGAGAAATATCAATAACCTCAGATATGGAGATGACACCACCCTAGTGGAAGAAAGCAAAGAGAAACTAAAGAGCCTCTTGATGAAGGTGAAAGAGGAGAATGAAAAAGCTGGCTTAAAACTCAACATTCAAAAAGAGAAGATCATGGTATTCAGTCCCATCACTTCATGGAAAATAGACGGGGAAACAATGGAAATAGTGACAGACTGTATTTTCTTGGGCTCCAAAATCACTGCAGATGGTGACTACAGCCATGAATTTAAAAGACACTTGCTCCTTGGAAGAAAAGCTATGACAAACTTAGATAGCATTTTAAAAAGCAGAGACATTACTTGACTAATAAGGTCAAAGCTATGGTTTTTCCAGTGGTCATGTATGGATATGACAGTTGGGCCATAAAGAAAGCTGAGTGCAGAAGAATTGATGCTTTTGAACTGTATTGTTGGAGAAGACTCTTGAGAGTCCTTTGGACTGCAAGGAGATCAAACCAATCAATCCTAGAGGAAATCAACAATGAATATTCATTAGAAGAACTGATGATGAAGTTGAAGCTCCAATTCTTTGGCCGCCTGATGCGAAGAGCTGACTCCTTAGAAAAGACCCTGATGTTGGAAAAGATTGAAGGCAGGAAAATAAGGGGACAATGAAGGATGAGATGGTTGGATGACATCACTGACTCAATGGACATGAGTTTGAGAGCTCTGGGAGATGGTGACGGACAGGGAAGCCTGGCGTGAGGCAATGGGGTTGCAAAGAGTTGGACACAACTAAGCGACTGAACACCACCACCACTAAGGGAAGTCAGTCAGGCAGAGGTAGAACATGGTATATGAGGAATTATCCAGGTGAACAAAAAAACAGACATACAAGTCAGCAAATTTATGATTCAGAAAGAGACTCTGAGACATTAATGTCAAATAAATGGTTCTGAAGAAAAAAAAGAAATCAAAGTGGAAGGATGGAATGAATTAGGAGGTCCATATGGAAATCGACAAGAAATCAGTATCTGTAACAAATAATCCACAAAGATTCTCCTCTTCCTTCCTTCCGTGGACATTTACATGGAAATCTCTATTTCTAAGAGATAATACACAAAACTTATCTCCTATCTTCCTGCTTGGTATTCACAGAAAAATGTATTCACAGAAAAGAGATTAATAACTCACAAGGACCTGATGCTCACCACTCTGCTCGACCTTCTAAGGCAAAAAGTTGGAAAAAACAGTAGAGACAGCCATAGATAACATAATTCCCAAATCCAGGGCAATCACAACACTGCAAATCCACTATACTTCAAGGTAGCTTTGGCAACATGGTAAAGAAAAGGAAAGAAAAGCAGTGCCTACTTTAATTATCTCCGCCCTCCCTGACTAGGGTTGCTGTCCCATCCCTGGAGGCTGGGCACGCTTGGGTCCCACTGCTGAACTGGGGTGGGGTGGACACAGCCTGGCTCGGTGCACTTGGTGGAAGCCTTTCCAAAGGTCTACTGTGTGCTACATTTGGCTGGGATAAGAGTCCGGCGTCGCATAAAGGCCTCGAGCAATTGATGCTTTTGAACTGTGGTGTTGGAGAAGATTCCTTAGAGTCCCTTGGACTACAAAGAGATCCAATCAGTTCATCCTAAAGATCAGTCCTGAATATTCATTGGAAGGACTGATGCTGAAGCTCCAATACTTTGGCCACCTGATGCGGAGAACTGACTCACTGGGAAAGACCCTGATGCTGGGAAAGATTGAGGGCAGGAAGAGAAGGGGATGACAGAGGACAAGATGGTTGGATGGCTCACTGATTCCATGGACATGAGTTTTAGAAAGCTCTGGAGATGATAAAAGACGGGGAGGGCTGGAATGCTGCAGTGTACAGGGTCGCAAAGAGTTGGGACACAACTGAGCGACTGTGCAACTATAACAACTGACTATCCCAAGGCACTTCAGGGCTCCCTTGGGACGTTAAACAATTAGGACACCCTGAACAGCTTGGTATTTTGACTCTGATTTCATCAGACCAACCAAGACCAAGGTCCTATTCCCAGCCATATTCTACAAGGGGAAAACCCGCATTTGGGACTAAAGAGTACCCTGGATGGCCATCAAGGCCCAACCTGAAAGAAACAGCCTTAGGCCAGAAGCCACTTACCCTAACAAGAGACAATATCCCATAAAGTTGGAAGCAAAGGAGGAGTTACAATCCCTCGTACACAAATTTTTAAAACACTGCCTCTTGGTGACCTGCCAATCTCCATGCAACACTCCCATTTTTCCAGCTATTAAGTCAACTGAGGAATATTGAGTGATACAAGACCTCAGAGCAATAAATGATGCTGTGGTCCCTAACCACCTGCTTTGGTCAATCTTTATGAAATATTAGCCCAAATCCCTGATGATGCTAATGCTTAAGTGTTGTTGTCCTCAAGGACGCCTTTCTTTGCATCCTAGTCTATCCCTCCTCACAATATTTGTTTGCTTTTGAGTGGATTAACCGCCACTCAGGACAAATCCAACAATACACCTAGACAGTATGGCCTCAGGACAGCCTACAATGGTGGGCTCTTATGTCCAAGGAAAACAACTATGGGAGATGCATCAAAAGAACGGCTATTCTACAGTATGTTCACGGAAGTCTCAGATCAAAATACCACTAAGTCCGTAATTCCTTGGGCTAGAAAGCCTCTCAAAGTCACAACAAATCTCAAAGCAATGAGTTCAATATCTGAGATATACTATAAAACCCAGAAATAGACAGTTATCTCCATATAGAAAACAAGCTGTATTTAGGTTTAAGCACTCCAAAGAGCTGCCTGCAATTACAGAGACGTGGGTTCAGTCCCTGGGTTGGGAAGATCCCCTGGAGAAGGAAATGGCAACACATTCCAGTATTGTTGCCTGGGAAATCTCACTGACCCAGGAAAGTGGTGGGCTGCAGTCCACGCAGTTGCAAAGAATTGGAGACGACCGAGTAATGAACCACCACCACCAGCCTTGAGTTACTTGCTGGGATTTTAGAGAACAAAGTCAGGTTCGTGCGTTTTTATCTCCTCTGCTTCCGCAATGTAGACCCCTCTGCCTGAGCTCCAGGGGCTTCACTCACTCTCCTCTGTGACTGTCCTGTCAGGCTCTCAGGAACTACTTGACTCATCTGTCGTCCCCCAGACTGAAGGGGGAGCCGGGCCACTTTATATTCAAGTAAGACAACTATGAGATCTCTGGGTCTGTCTTTAGAAAAAATTAACTTCTAAATGAGCTCTATTTAATTGGCTTAAAGGAATTTGAGTGCTTATATATATTCTCAGAAAGATAAAAGAGACTCACTAGGATACGTTTGGGTTCATGTGATCTGGGAAATAGTCAATATTTAATTAACCTCTGGCATTAGAGCTAGCTTAAGCTTGTGGGTTTAATTAATACAGACTTGACTTTAGAGTGATCAACATTAAGTATACTTTTATCATACCTAGGGTTATTGAGTGTCAGTAAGTACATATTGTTTTTTATGAAATTTGTCAACAGGGAAAATAAGCTGATATAAAATTAAGTAAATGTAAAATACGATAAGAACTTTTTAGTAAACTCTATAGCAATAATTATGTTTTGGAAACATCTGTCTAAAATACTCTGCAAATTTTGATAAGTTGAAACTAAATTAAGTTCAACAACAGGAATTCACTGAAAATTCAGGCCTTTTCAAATAAGATAAAATATTGAGAATATTAATTTATACACAGGTCCAAATTACCAACTTTTGTCTTCTTGTGAGAGAAAAACTAAAGATGTTTTGTGCCACCTTGCGATGTCCTTCACCAACCTATAGAATGCTAATGTAGAAGACAGTTCATGGTTGTTTAAGGAAAGTAGGATGTGTGTTCTCAGAAAAGAGGGTATGAAGAAATGTATTTTGTTGAAAGGAAAAAAGGTGATTTTGCCTTGGAACTGGCTATTTCTGAATGGGGAAAGAATAAGGGACAAAATATGGCTACAGAAAGTAGTGAATGCTTGTAAAAGAGGAACACTGACAAAGGAATTTTGTATGTGGTCAGAATTTTCTAAAGTTGGATTAAATGAAGTAAATACATTTTGTTAAGAATAGGTTGATGCAAGAGTGGATTTGGTTTTTCTCTTATAAGGGAACAAGGTTTTCCTGGAATACACCTTTTTGATAGCAGATCACGTGAGTTCCTATCCTCTGAAGGGATCTGTATTTACTTCTGAAAATTATTTTCACCTCAGCTTAACAAGCCATTGTTTGACTCTATGATTCCATCTGACTGGGTGTTTTAAAACTTTGAAAGGCTTCCCTGGTGGCTCAGTGGAAAAGACACAGCCTGTAACGCAGGGGATGCCAGTTCCATCCCTGACCCCTGGTTTGGGAGGAGCAACTGGTCCATGTGCCACAGGACTGAGCCTGTGCTCCAGGGCCCAGGAGCCACAACTACTGAGCCATGCTCTCAGAGCCCGTGCTCTGAAACAAGGGAAGGCACCACAATGAGAAGCCCGCACACGGCAATGAGAGAGGAGCCCCTGCCCGCTGCAAGCAGAGAAAGCCTGCCGCAGCAACAAAGACCCAGCACCGCCAAAAATAAAAATAAATACGTTAAAAAAAAAAAACAAACTTTTCAAGATTTTTGACAGACTCCCCAAATATCAAATTCGAACTAAAGTTCCTTTGACCTCGAGATACTTTGGGGGTGCTTCAAAGGGTCCCTGGAGCACCCCAAAGAAAGATCCTAAATTAACTGGGTTCATTTGGTATGTTAAATTACGTGGGAAACACTGTCCAAACTCGCTGTTGCCTGTGTCAGATAGAAACATTACCCTCTCCCCGATTTTATCGAAGCCGTCAGACAGACAGGAAGGGGTTTGGGTTCTTCTGCTGTCTCGTCTCTCACCTTAACCCATGTCCAAACAATCCCGAGGGAATACTCCCACCTCCAGGCCCTCCGTGTCTAACACCCATGGCCTTCTGCACTGCGCCCAACTTCAGTCTCCCATCGGAGAGGCCCTGCACATCCCCCAGTTGTTCACTTTGCACCTCCAGGACTTCCTTCATTGCTCCACTTGGCAGCACTCACACAGGGACAGACTAACTACTGGGCTGGCCACTTGCAAGTAGCCCACATCCTAGGTTTTATAGGTGCTCCCCATCAAGGAATACGCCCCAACACAGGGAAAACTTTATAGGACATGAGCTTCATGGACCACAGATCCCCCTCAAGTGGAGTCCTGCCAACACATTGGCACTGCTTCAAATGTCCCCTATTGGGTGCCCCTCACTGGAGAGACTGGGCTGACCTGAGATGTCAGGTTATGAATTAAAGGGAGCAGAGACTCTCAAAATCCCATCCGATGAGAAAGGAATTCAGAGGACATTCCAACTCCCCTTCGACAAAAACCTCCCAAGGACTGTCTCCAAGACTGTGGACTTCAATTCTAGAAGCACTCTTGGTTGCAGGTTACTCAATATGGCAGGATCCTCTTCTAAGCAATAAGAAACACATCTGGAATGTATACTGAATAGTAGCAGTAGTGTTAGTAGCTCAGTCATATCCAACTCTTCCAAACCCCATGGACTGTGGCCCACCAGGCTCCTCTGTCCATGGGATTCTCCAGGCAAGCATACTGGAGTGGGTTGCCATTCCCTTCTCGAAGGGNCCCAGCCTTCTTTCAGGGGCCACTAAGTGGAGGCTTTCGGAAAACTGACTAACACTGAACCCTCCAATCCCGAGGGCAAATCCCAGCTATGACAACATCTGATCAGTCAGTCTGTCCTTGATACTCCGCAGAAACTCCAGAAGGCACAATTAGGCAACAAACCCTGATGACCCAACTCCTATAGGTGGCCTTGGGTATTTAATAATGGAGTATTTAATAATGAGCAGAAGAGAGAGCCCAACATGAGAAAGACAGGCCAGGGGTCAAGCTAAACTGACAGGGATCCTGGAGGCTCCCTTTGAGAGGTCTATCTCCATCGAGGGGGCTCTGGGTAGTTCCTGACGTGACAGGTAATAAGATGGATTTTTTAATTGATACCTGAGCCACTTACTTCCTCCTGATTTTTCAAGCAGGGCCTCTTTTCTCCAAAAGCTGCACAGTGACTGCTGTCAATGGAAAGTCTCTCATCTGTTACTTCACTGGGCTTCTCCCGTGTCAATCTGAAGTGTCTGATGTCACCTGCCTTTCTGGTTGTCCCTCGGTGTACTAATAGAGAGGGGAACCTTCTGGGCTCCCCTGGGACCAGTAAACAATTAGGATACCTCGAACAGCCCCGTATTTGGACTCTGACTACAGGAGACCAATGAAAAGAGCAAGGTCCTATTCCCAGCCATATTCTACAAGGAGTGAACCCACATTTTGGAAACAATGCGTACCCAGGAGGGCCATCAATGCCCAACCTGAAAGAATCAGCTTTAGGCCAGAAGCCACTTACCCTAACAAGAGACAATATCCCATGAAGCTGGAAACAAAGAAGGGCTTACAACTCCTCACCCATAAATCCTTACAACACGGCCCCTCGGCGCCATGCCAGTCTCCATGCAATACTCCTATTTTCCAGGTATTAAACCAACTGGGGAAAGCAGAGCGGTACAAGACCTAGAGCAGGAGTGGCACTGTGGCCCCTATTCACTGGCCACCTTGTGGCCAGTGCTTATAAAACATTAGCCCAACCCCTGAGGAGGCTAAATGGTGCTCAACCTCAAGATTGCTTTTCTTGTATCCAAGCCTATCCCCCCTCACAATTGTTTGACTTCCACTCAGGCCAAATGCAACAATACACTTGGACAGTATTGTCTCAGGGGTTTCAGGACAGCCCATACTTGGTCTCCCAGGCCCTAAGAAAACAACTATGGGAGACACATCTAAAAGAACGGGCTATTTTACAGTATGTACATGACATATTAATATGTACCTCACCATGGTGGTCTCAGATCCAAATACCACTTAAGTCCTTAATTTCCTTGGGGCTACAGAGCCTCTCAAAAGTACAACAAATCTCCGAGTAATGAATTAAATATCTGGTATACACTATAAACCCCAGGAATAGACAATTATCTCCATACAGAAAACAAGCTATATGTGAACCTAAGCACTGCAAAGATCTGCCTGCAACGCAGCAGACATGAGTTTGATTGATTAGTCAGGAAGATCCCATGGAGAGGGAAATGGTAACCCACTCTGAAATTTTTGCCTGGGAACTTTCAAGGGCAGAGGAGCCTGGCGAGCTGCAGCCTACCAGGTCTCAAAAGAGCTGAATACGACTTAGCAACTAAACAATGACAGTAACTCCAAAACAAAGAAACATCTCTGTTACCTGAGGAAACCAAAGCTGAAAAAGACACATGTACCCCAATGTTCACTGAGCACTATTTACAATACCTGGAACATGGAAGCAACCTAGATGTCCACTGACAGATGAACAGATAAAAAGCTATAGCTGCCGGCTCAGCAGTAAAGAATCAGCCTACAATGAAGGAGATGCAGGTTTGATCCCTTAGTCAGAAGATGCCCTGGAGGAGGGCATGGCAACCCACTCTAGCGTTCTTGCCTAGAGAATCCCTTGGACAGAGGAGCCTGGCAGGTTGCAGTCCATAGAGTTGGACATGACTGAAGAGACTAACCAGCAGCCGCAGCAGTATACACAATGGAATATTCAGTTCAGTCGCTCATTCGTGTCTGACTCTTTGCAACCCCATGGACTGCAGCACACCAGGCTTCCCTGTCCTTCACCAACTCCCAGAGCTTGCTCAAACTCATGTCCATTGAGTCGGTGAAGCCATCCAGCCACCTCATCCTCTGTCGTCCCCGTCTCCTCCTGCCCTCAATCTTCCCAGCATCAGGGTCTTTTCCAATGAGTCAGCTCTTTGCATCAGGTGGCCAAAGTATTGGTGTTTCAGCTTCAGCTTCAGCCCTTCCAATGAGTATTCAGGACTGATCTCCTTTAGGATGAACTGGTTGGATCTCCTTGCAGTCCAAGGGACTCTCAAGAGTCTTCCCCAACACCACAGTTCAAAAGCATCAATTCTTTGATGCTCAGCTTTCTCTATGGTCCAACTCTCACATCCATACATGACCGCTGGAAAAACCATAGCTTTGACTAGACAGACCTTTGTTGGAAAAGTAATGTCTCTGCTTTCTAGGTTTGTCGTAGCTTTTATTCCAAGGAACAAGTGTCTTTTTTAATTTCATGGCTGCAGTCACCATCTGCAGTGATTTTGGAGCCCCAGAAAATAAAGTCTGTCACTGTTTCCATTGTTTCCCCGTCTATTTGCCATGATGTGATGAGACTGGATGCTATGATCTGAGTTTTTTGAAAGTTGAGTTTTAAGCCAGCTTTTTCACTTTCCTTTCATAATGGAAAGCAGAAATTTGGAAAGTAATATTTCACAATGGAATATTACTCAGCCATAAAAAGGAACACATTTGAGTCAGTTCTAATGAGGCAGATGAACCTAAAGCCTATTATACAAAGTGAAGTAAGTCAGAGAGAGAAAAACAAATACTCTATACTAACATGTATATATGGAATCTAGAAAGATGGTACTCATGAAATTATCTGCAGGCTAGCAATGGAGAAGCAGACATAGAGAACAGACTTATGGACGTGGGGCTGGGGGGAGAAGGAGAGGGTGAGATATATGGAGACAGCAGCATGGAAGCTTCATCACCATTTGTAAAAGAGCCAAGGGAATGTGCTGCACGACTCAGGGAACTCACACAGGGGCTCTGTATCAAGCTAGAGGGGTGGGATGGGAGGAAGATGGAGGGAGGTTCAAAGTGGGGGATATATGTGTCCTTATGGCTGATTGATGATGTCTGGCAGAAACCAACACAATTCTGTAAAGCAATTATCCTTCAATTAAAAATTTTTAAAAAAAGACATCTCTACCTTTTTCCACATGGTAGGATTTTGTAGAGTTTGGATTCCAAAATTTGGGCCAATGGCTAAGCCTCTGTATCAAGTCACTAATGCTCAGATAGAGAAGCGTTACTTTAGAATGAGGAACAGGAAAAAGCTTCACGTGATTATCAACCAGACCCTCACCAGAGCCCCCGCTCTCAGTCACCCCGATCTGAAAACACCATTCATCCTGTATGTGGCTGAAAAGCAAGGCAAGGCTCTGTGGTTCTTATACAGAAGCTGGAGAAGATTCTGAGCCTGTTGGGCATTTTTCCAAATAACTAGATTTCATGGCCCAAGGTTGGCCTGGCTGTCTCCACGCAGTAGCTGCCACCGCTTTATAACTGGAAGAAGCTAACAAGCTTACTTTTGGACAGCAGCAGAAGTCCAGTCC